AATACTTGCAATTCATTAAAATATAATACTGATTCTCCAATAAAATAATTTTAATTTGTTTTTTTATATAATTAAATTTGTGGATGATAAAATAAACGTTCCATTTTTTAATGGTCCTTTTTTTTTTATTATTCGAGTCTATTTTTTAATCAGTATTAGTGAAGCCAAACAATTTTAAAATAATTCTTATTAATTCGTAGAGATAAAAGCTAGTTTAATTAACGAAGCCAAGAGAGTCTTTAAATTGATCTCTTTAACAAAGAATTTAGAATTATTGGTTTATAGAAATAAAAATAGATTTCTTTAACAATCAAAAATGCTCTTTTATTGGTTCGTAGAGAGGGATAAAGATTCTTTTAAAACGTTGAAAACAATTAGCCCGCCTTTTATTTGTATTAGATCAATCAAAGAATTTATTTTTCTTTAACAACAAAAAAATAAAGAATGAAAAAATCCTACATCTTCCAATCAATTATGTTTATAAATATAATTTCATTTTTAAAAATAACAAAGAATGAATCAACAGAAAGCTCATGCTGCATTAGTAGATATTGATAATAACAATCCCATATCGTCAAATTTAGAAAACAGCAATATTCTTCCTAATCAAAGAAACATTCACATACACATTTCTCCAACATATCTATTGACCAAGGTTCTTGCTTTTTGTTGCCAGAAGATTTTGAAATTTTAATATGTGGACAGGCAACAAGATAGTAATTGCCTGTATCATTCCGCTCCCATAATTTGTGGGCAAATGAAGTTTTCGTAACTCAACTGAGGGTCTCTGTAATCATAGAATTAATGAAGAATGCGAATTACTATCTGGAAAATAGTGTATATATTTTTAATATGAATTATAAGTGCAAAATCACAAAGCAATTAAGAATAATAATGATAATATGAATAGTAAAAGAACTATTTCTAAAAGATAGTCAAAAGAAAAGCAGAGAATTAAATGAGAATTGATTTAAAAGTGTAAGGTTAAACTTTCAGAAATTTTAACCTATGGAAATTAATTTATTAATTGAAAAGTTTGCTATTGAAAAGAAGATACACGGTGGATCTTGGTTTAACGTATAGTTTGGACAATTATAATTAATATTAGGGAAGAAATCCATTATATCGAAAAGGGTTTATTATGGAGGACTTCATCCATTAAACCGAGATTTTTAATTAGTATCACTAAATCGAGGTTCACTAAACCAAGATTCACTGTATAGTGGTATGGACGGTGAGAGATTATCAGGAAGGATCCTTCTACTGACATGAATATTGATAGTTGGACAAGAAATCAAAATTTAACTTTGTTATTGTTTATAAAAATATGATCGATCCTCACAATAATAATACATTATTAAAAAGCACTGAGCTTCCATGGATCAAAGAAAACAAATGCATGGGATCCAAGACCATTAAATGTCCATCCCATTCTTTGAGCTCAACGATCAATGAAAAAGAAGTAGAAAAAGGCGCTAAGTTATTATTTTTTAAATTTTCATTCTCCACTTACACATTAATCGCATTTATCGTACGTTGTTGAGGATTGTGGTGGAATTACAAATTTTATATACCCGATATCCCAGTTTATTTCTTCATTGATTGGAAAACAGACTCATGAATTCATCAGATCTGACCGATCCGATAGATAAACGGCTAGAGACTAATAGTTTGTAAATATTATACTGACATTGTCCACTCATCTAAGGAAAAGAGGTCTTGCGCTTGAGAAAACGAGTTGCTGAAACCATCCCCTATATTTTGATTTTCTAGATTTTCAATTCCAGTGAGTTTTCCATCTACAGAATTGTTCAATGTCAATGTAGATACATTTATATTGGCATGTTTGTAAATTCTTATGGTTATTAATATTCCTGTCAATCTTGTTAGTGAAGAGCATCATTCCAAAGAAGATAAAAAATGAAAAAGATCCAAACATTAATTTGAGATATCTATACGCGAATTAAAATATATGAGTATGTCATTTCATTCAAAAAGAGAAGTGGTCAATTCTCTGTTATTATTCCAGAACATCATGTCTTAGATTGAAAACCAGAATATATGTATTGTTAAGCATAATATTTGTATATTTTTGATTATACTTTAATAGCTTGTTTTAAACTTTGTTTTAATAGTTTCTTTTTTTTTTTTAAAAATGTTATATAATGTACACCAATTATTATTTGGGAGAGCGTGTTAATTGATGATAACAATATAAATTTATGATTATGTGGATCAGAATGAATTGGCTATTATTAACGAATTAGTTTTATTAGCGAATAATTTTGGTTTAGCGATTCAAGAAAACGTTTTATTTAGTCGAAACTAATTTATTAACTTATTTCCAAGTTAATTTACAAGTTATTAAAACTTTATTACAAAGCTATTAAAACTAAGACAAAGTTATTTTTACAATTATATCAAATTTGAGCTTCTTATATAGAATTAAATTAATTAGTAGCAACTTCATTGCAATCTTGCACTCTAACCGCGATATCGTACTTTAATTGCGACGTAGCTAGTTTCGACGTTATACGAATAAAAATAATAAAAATAAAATAAGAAATATAAAGAATAAATAAATATAGATATAAAAATAAAGTAAAAATAAAGTAAAAATAGGAATAAAAGATTTGATTTGAAATTAGGGTATTTCGACCAACAAAGTAGCATTAAATCCTAATCCTAGTAACAATAGCGATGAAGTAAAAGACGACAAAAATGGATCCAACTCGTATTTATATTGCTCTGTAAAAAATATATCACATGATAAGATAGGAAATGTAGTATTAGTATGGAGATGTGTATCCTTGACCCACAAGTGAGGGATAGCGGGTCTATTTAAAGCAATCTATTAAACTGATAAATGCTCCATTTGGCCATGAAATAGTTTATTTTATTAAAAATTACATTATTGCACAATAGGATGATAGGATGACTCGCATCCTAGTTCTGATATTAGCACAACGTGCCTCACCTCGAGCGAGAAAAAGTTTGGTAATCTTACGCAAGCTAGCAACCTCAATGTTGTATGTAAACTTGGAATGTCAGGATGCTACGCATCCCTCTGCACGTGGTGGCGACAGAAATGTGCCACATACTCAGTGTCGTGACGACGAAAATGTATCACGACGACAAAAAACAATATATAAGACATCATATATAACCTAGTCTAAGCCGAAGAAACACAATTATGTTATTTTGGCTAGAGCCACCCACCACTTTTAGATTAGTGGTAGTACATACGATGTGATTTTAAATAATATTGATTTCTGTAATTTCTTTATAATGTTCACCAACAAGTTTTGATCTGGTCCATTGCCATCGATAATACTAAATATTTAAAATGTTTCACCAATGACCAACTATCATGAAACAACAGATTACGTTAAATTTTAAACTTTTGTCGATTTTACATCAATGGGGAAAAAGTATTATACATTAACTATCCATCCAAAAACCCATCCACGTTTTCAAAATTTGCCATTGCCGATCACTAAATATATATAATAATACTAACACTAAATACATTTATTAATTTATATATATATGATAACTTTGTGTAAAAATAATGAATCCAAAGATTTTGAATAATTGTTCACTTACTTATTCAATAATTAGGAAATCAGTGTTCGGATTTTCATATATAAGGAGTGTACAAAAATTTCCTGAAAATTATTTATCCTTTTATCCCTCTAATCTTTTCAACTGTAGAACATTGACTACAAAAATGGCAACAAATTTTTATGAATTAGAAGCTTTGGACATTAAAAAAAACCCATTGAAATTTTCTGAATATCAAGGAAAAGTTTTATTGGTGGTAAATGTTGCTTCAAAATGTGGATATACTCCACAATATAATGGATTAGAAGAACTTTATCAAAAACTCAAAAGTTCAAAATTTGAAGTTCTTGGATTTCCCTGTAATCAATTCGGAGCTCAAGAACCTGGCGCCGAAGGAGGTAAAAAAATAAATAAATCTTTATTATTTTTTTTTTTAAATAAATAAAAAAAAAGGAATTTATTTATTTATTTATTTATTTTTTGGGGGAAAGAAATTGAAACATTTTGTAGAAATGATAAATATCATGTAACCTTTCCGTTATTTGCAAAGATCGATGTAAATGGTGAGTCTACAAGTCCAGTTTATGAATTTCTGAAATCAAAATTACCAGGAGACATCAAGTGGAATTTTGAAAAATTTTTAATCGATCGTCAAGGAAATGTTGTCAAACGTTATGTTTCTGGTGATAAGGTAAAAAAAAATTTTAATAATAATAAATTGAAGTTTAAAATAAAATTAAAGGAAAATATTTATTTTATTTTTTATTTTTAGCCTGCTAGTTTAGAGGCTGATATTAAATCATATCTCTAATGTATATGATAATAATTAACATTCATTGATGATATTATCGTCAATTCACTTGAATTCCAATATGTAATTTAATATTGAAATAAAAAATGACAAATAACAAATTTTCTTGTTCATAAAATATTATGTCATTAATGAATTATATAATGTGCCCAAATGATCTCGATCCCAAAACTTTTTTGATAATTCTGATTAAACAACCAGAGATCAATAACAATGAGATATACATACATATGTGTATATTAAAATTTTTAACGAGAAGAGCGAGTGTTATTAATGATAAACAATTTATAATTATATATTTAATTTATTGTCATTTTTAAAAGGTACATTTAATGGATCGATAATTGAACCTAATTTTGTAATAACTCTAGGTTTATTTAATTTTTGATAAACTTCGACAGTATTCCATTCCTTGCCCAGTGGAGTATGCAAACTATGTTCATATTGATTCGTATTTTTAAATGGATATGGAACATTTGTTGAAAGATATTTTTTTGCCTATTCATTTATTTTGATATTTTTTTAAAAAAAAGATATCATTAATTATAATAATTAAAAGAAATGTCAAGTAATAAATAATTATAAATCGTTACCTTTTTAACTCTTTTTTCATTAATAACGACGTGTTTTAATTTAGAATCTTTACGTTTAGATGAATCAATTCCAGGAATTGTTGAAATCAATTTCCTTCGTTTACGTTTTCGCACACCTTTACCACCCCAAGCACCCTATATATTTTTAATTTGTAAAATATCATTAATATATAAATATAGTAATCGTTAAATTATATATATGTGTGCATATAGTTCTCACCCAACCAGGTAAAGTTATATCTTCTTCTTTGGGTGCGTCTTCATCAATTATAGCTTGTTTTTCCACTTCAAATTCCTTTTCAAAAAATAAAAATTGTTTGGATCATCTATATATATATATATATCCTTGTTAACCAATAAGTTTTTTAATATAACAACATACCTGAACTACATTATCATTAGCAAAAGCTCTTGAAACTAATTCTCTCTGTGTAAATTTCAAAGTGTCTTTACTATGAATGTAATCATTTGTTATCTTCTCATCCTCCTCGACATCTACCTCCTCAATTTCTTTATCTGTAATTTTTACTACTTTTGTCTGTTTTTCTTTACCTATATAAATATATATATATATATTATGATATAATGTTATGTGTTATACATTTTATGCATCAGTAACTTACCAATTTTCTGAAGACTTTCGTTGAATGTTAAAACATTGTCTAAATCAATCTCAACATCATCTTCTTTTCTTGATTGCTTTTGTCTCTTTAATTTATTAACTAATTTATCAGATTTTGTTTCATTTTTTTTATTAGTAACTTTATTATTTTTTTTACTAATAGCCATAACTTGAGAAGTGTCTGTCTGTAACCATGGATTAATTTCTCCATCAAATATAGATTTGGGCAACTATTGAATAATTGTTTAAACAATTAATAATCCATATTTTAATGTTTTTGAGAATGTTTAAATGCATACTTTTTTTATAGTTGGTCCTTGATCAAATAAAACTTTAGTATTTTCTTGCTTTTTTAGTAATTGGTTCTGTATATATAATTAATTAAAAATTTGTTAATCTTTTTTTTTTATTAAATTTTAAGAATTCATTTGAAAAATAAAAAAACCCTACCTTTGTTCCAGCACCAATTATCATTCTTCCCATATTATTACCAACAAAAGTAATTGATTCTTTTTCATCATGATTTTTTTTGGCCTTCTTTTTTTTATTGCTACCTCCTCCTTCTCTGTCACCATCATCATCGTCACCATCATCGTCGTCGTCGTCATCATCATCATCACCATCACTTTTTTCTTCACTGAAATTATTATTTTCCAAATCCTCAACAAAATCGTCTATTATTTTACCAGTTTGTTTGCTTTCTCTTTCAATAGCATTTTTCATAAATTTCATACCCATTATACCTAATGATGTTTCATCTTTTAAAGCTTCATCATTTACTAATTGGGATAGTTCATCAAAAGCATCATCTTTAATTGCTTCAATATTTTTTTCCAGTTTATCATTATCATCATAAGCATCATCACTTTCACTTCTTATATCATCCAATTCTTCATCAGAGCCAAGATCATGAATTTTGCGATTGAGTTCTTCGTGTCTCTTCAATTGATCCACTATTGCCTGTTGACTTTCAGGATCATGATGTCCATTTTTTAATAATTGTTTAGCCCATTTAGTTGTATTCTTGTGTTTTAGGGTCATACGTTCTTTTGCTCTAGCTGTATCAAGTTTTATACGTTCTTCTCTTGCAAGCTCTGGATCTAGTTGTGATAATTGGTCAAGATTTAATTTAATCTTTTCTTTTCTCCGAATTTTTCTATATGTTTTACTCTTGATTTTTGCAATCCTTTTTGCTTTAATTTCTTCTCGAAACATTAATTCACGCATTCTACGAAGTTCCTTTGTTCGAGTTTTTATTTCATCTATTGATAATTTGTTTAACTGGAGTTTTTCATATTGTTGAAGTTCTTTTTCATTTCCCTGTTTCAATCCACTTTCCACCAGTATAGATTCTACTTCTTTTTCTAAGTTTGTTGAAGGCTTTTTATAATTAAAAAATTTAATTAATCAATTAATATATAAAATTCTTCGTTAAATTGTTTAACATCAATCAATACATTGATGCATACCTTGAATGTACCGGCCAATAGACTATTAGTTGGACGATGTTGTGGTATGGCATCTATTGGAAAAACCAAGTGATCTGCTATGCGATTTTGTTTAACAATCGGTTCCCATTTTGAAATCTCTTTTTTTGTTTCCTCATAAGCCGCTTGTCGATTTAATCTATCTTTAAGTCGTTTGGGCAAAGGTGGTGGCAAAGGATCTTTGTACGTTCCTTTATTACCACCACTTTCAAGTGAGGCTAATTTTTGTTTTAAACCACTGAAACCAGTTTCTTCTTGGATCGCACCAAGTAGATCTTGAAGTTCAATTTTCTTTTTATTATTCATTGTGTTAATTATTTTTTCCACAAAAAAAAAAACTTGCGATAATCATTTTAATTTATGCATATATCCATAACAAGTATGTTTTCAGGAAGATCCTTAAACACAAATTTAGGGTTTCTATTCGAATAAGGTTTATTCGAATTATTCACTTTATTCGTTATTATTATTATTATTATTATGAATTTGAGTATCGAATTACATTGAAAGTTTATTTGAATAAATTTTAATTCGAATAAAACGAATAATTCGAATAAGGAAATTAATTCGAATAAAAAACGAATGAACAAACCCAAGATTCCGATAATGAATAAAACCAATAAAACAAATAATTTGAATAAAACGAATTAATTTTTTAATTCGAATAAACTTTTAAATTCGAATAAACTTTTTAATATTAATATTAATATTAATATTAATTCGAATAAAATTTTTTTAATTCGAAAAAGAATTTGCATTACGAATAGAAGCCCTAATAAGCATAAAACGAATAAAACGCATAAAGCGAATAAAGCGAATAAAACAAATAAAATACATAAAGTGAATAAAACAAATAAAATGAATAAAACGCATAAAATAAATAAAACGAGTAATAATAATTCAAATAAAGCTAAATTTGTAATGCAAAAACACAAATAATAAGTATATATAGCTTGTAGCCTAGGTCCTCTAGAATATGCATGCAAAATTTTCGTGTTTTCTGATTTTTGCCATGTCATTAATAGAATCCAACATATTGATGTTATATTATTTTCCAAGTAAGATACTTGATTATAAGATCAACATTCAACTTTATACATTAATATATATGGCTCTAATCTACCGTGGACATCAAATATAAACCGGTTTTTCTAAACACCCACTAGCAATCTCTCCCTTCTTTCCAAGTGAGTGGTTTAATGTCAATTGGAAACCTTGGTGGGTGGAATAAGTGTCATTTCATATAGCGTGTAATATTAAAATTCATCAATACCCATCTTTAAAAAAACCACAGTCATTTTTCACAAGAAACAATTTTTTTATATTAAACAAACAATGTAAAGCTAAACCAGAACTTTCAAACAATTATTAAAGGCTTAAATTTTTGTTATTGTATGGCAAATTGGAGGTATTAGCATTGCTTTTGTTGACACTCATCTCAATATTCTTTTACAATTAGAAGGGGAAATAAACAAAACCAATGGCAGTATTAAAGTGTAGAAGAAAAGTTTTGACTTTGCTTGCACGGAATTGAAATTTTTAAACAAATCCAATTTCAAATGTCATTAATATTATTATTAATATTAAATATTAAGAGGGTAGAAGAAAATTGTGATATTACTATTATGTAACATTCACTTTCAATTCAAAATGGTACATAGATTAAGCTTGGCAGGTGAAGTAAGATGTAATGTATTTGTAAACGAATTAAATAATAATTAACTTGGAAAACCAACCAAACCTTTCAATTTACTATTGATTTAAACATGGTTGGATGATGATGTGTTTGAGTGTATTTTTTTATCCAAGTATACGTTACGAAATTAATTCAAAGGCGAATATAAAGTATGAATTGGATAGAACAATTAATTATAATTACAAATAATAATTATAAATTTACTGATTCAAAACTTTTCTTCAATTCCTTGTCTTCAATATAGATAGAATAAAATCATATTTAAAGGTATAAGTCAAATACTGGAGGTAAAAATCATTCTCAAAGGTATTATCATATCAAATTTCATCATTTAATTCATTGTCGGATGGTAATACAGAATGCTGATGACACTGAAGCATTACAAGAAAAATTCAAATCTTTTAATAAAAATACAAAATGCGTTGCTAATGATGAAGTTTGTATTGGCAAAGATTTTGCCCAATGCGTAACTACAATAGAAAATGGTAAAACTGTTGATAAATTCGTCACCACTTCTTGTAGTGGTAGTGGTTTAGAATGCGTTATATTACCCTTGGTTTTGAAATGTGGCTCATTACTTGTGGTACGTGTATATTTATATGTTTACATACCGTATACACAGTGAATCTCGACTTAACGGATAATTTGGGCAATTAGGGAAAATTTTCCAAAAATCCGTTAAACCGAGGTGTCCGCTATATCGAGTAGGTTTTTATTAAGGTTTATTATGAAACCGTTCTTTAAACTTTATCCGTAAAACAGAGATTTTTAATTAGTATCCGCTAAATCGAGGTCCGCTGTGTATACTGTACTGTATATATATACTTTTTAATTAATTAATCATACTTTCTTCTTCTCTTCTATTGATCATAGCTATTGAACAGTAACAAAAAAGAAGATTGGACAAAGCTCGTGGTAAAACAACTGCCGGTAATAATCCATCTAAAAGATCACCTAAAGAATCAACGCCTAACGACATGGATAAAATTCGTAAATTGAATGCTGATGACGCTGGTGCATTAGAAAAAAAGTTTAAATCCTTCAAAGCTGATCAAAAATGTTCACCAAATGAACGCTTGTATTAATGGTTAATTGCTAAATGTTCTGACACAGTTGTAAACGGTTCTGTAAAACCAAGATTCTCCTTACAATTTTGTGCAGCTGGCTTGAAATGTTTTGTATTACCTCTTGTTAATTCTCGCGGCATTTCTATCACTCGTGGCATGCATTCTTTTTTTATTTTTGTTTTGTTAATTATTTATTATATATATATATATATTGATTGGTATTTCTAGATACTGAAGAAGATCGTGCAAACTGTTTCAAAAAAGCACGTGATCAGAATTAATATTTAATGGTTTTTAAAAAAATTTATCCGTGGTGGTACCACTAGCCAGAAAAAAAAATAAAATAAAATGTAAAAATTTTTTGATCTATATTAATATATATACTCAATAATTTTTATCAAAAAAAACCATCTTTATATATCTTTCCTCTTCTCTCACCTACAAAAAAAAAAAAAAAAAATACGTCATCGTGTCTACAAGAAACCGCCTTTTGCAACTTTATAAAAGTTTTTCGTTCATGCCTCCGGTAATTGACAAGAAATATGATTATTTGGTAATTGGCGGTGGAAGTGGTGGTTTGGCTTCAGCAAGGCGTGCTGGCCAATATGGTGCTAAAGTTGGTTTGATTGAGTCAAGTGGTAGGTTAGGTGGTACTTGTGTTAACGTCGGTTGTGTTCCTAAAAAAATCATGTTCAATACTGGTAAGTTGTTGTTACTCTTTTGAAATAAAATAAAATAATAATCTTTTATAATTGAAATAACTTGTATATATGTGTGTTGTGTGTTTGTTGTGTTCGTGCTTAGCCATGATTGCTGAAGCATTACATGATGCAAAACAATACGGGTTTGATTTAAAGTCTGCTCCAAAATTTAATTGGAATTATCTTAAACTAAAGCGTGATGCTTATATTCAACGTCTTAATGGGATTTATGAGAAAAATCTTTTAAAAGATAATGTTGATTATATTCATGGAAAGGCTAGTTTTATAAGCAAAAATGTGGTTCGTGTGGTGAATCAAGGAAATGTTATGGAAGTTGAAGCTAAAAAAATTCTAATTGCTACAGGTAATATGAATCTTTTTTTCATCTCACAGCTTTGTTTGTTTGTTGTATCATTTACTAAAAATATGTTTTTATTTTTACATCCACATGCACGCATTTCTATTTAGGGGGGTATCCTTATGTTCCTGTTGATACAATCCCTGGAGCCGAACTTGGAATTACAAGTGATGGTTTCTTTAGTCTTGAAGAACAGCCAAATAAAGTTTTAGTAGTTGGAACTGGTTACATTGGTGTTGAATTAGCAGGTGTTTTCAATGCTTTAGGTAATATCTTATATGAAAAAAAAGTATTTTATTTTCAAATGTCATTCCTACAAATTCAATTGCATTAAATAACTTTTATATATAAATAGGCACAAATACTACATTGGTTACTCGTTCGGGTGAAATTTTAAGAACCTTTGATTCTATAATCAAAGATGTCCTTTTAGAACAAACAAAATCAGAGGGTATTCGTCTTTTAACTCATTCTCATGTCCACAGCGTATCACGTGACAATCCAGGTGCTCCCTTAAAAGTTAAACTTACTTCAAAAGAAACAAATGAAACAACAGAAGAATTTGATGTAATATTATGGGCCATTGGCAGAAAACCACACATTGAGGGTCTTAATTTAGACCATATAGGAATAAAATTGAATGAAAAAGGTTATATTTACACAGATGAATATCAAAACACTGTAACAGAGGACATATATGCTTTAGGCGATGTTTGTGGCGTTGCTCAATTGACTCCTGGTAAAAAAAATTTTTTTTTAAATTTTCATTATTTTATATTGATTGTGACAAATAACAGTTTTTCTTTAAAACAGTTGCAATTGGAGCTGGTCGTCGTTTATCAGATCGTTTATTTGGTCCTCCAAAATTTGCTAAGGCTAAACTTGACTACAACAATATTCCAACTGTCGTGTTTCATGGTACTTGCGGAGCAGTTGGTTTGACTGAACCAGAAGCAAGGAATAAATATGGAGAACAAAATGTTAAAACTTATACTTCTAAATTTGTAAATTTATATAATTCAATGACAGAACACAGTATGTTTTTTTTTCCTAATTATTTTAAATGTTTGCTATTATTTTTACCATCATTAATCATCGTTTCTTTTTGTTTAATTATCAAGAACCTGCAACAGCATATAAACTTGTGGTTGTCGGTGAAGAAGAAAAAGTTGTTGGTGTTCATATTGTGGGAAGAGACTCGGCAGAAATTGTATAAATCTTTTATTATTGTTGTTGTTTTCATTGTTATCATCATCATTCAATAACAATAATTTCTTAAAAAATTAAAACAGCTGCAAGGTTTTTCTGTTGCTGTTAAAATGGGTGCCACAAAAGAAGATTTTGATAGTACTGTTGCAATTCATCCTACTGCAGCTGAGGAACTTGTGAGTTTTCATCTTTATATGCTCTGTTTAATATTTCATATTTTTAATTATAATAACGATTCTAATTGATTAATACTATTTACAAATATTAGGTTACCATGAGATAAATTTTATTTATTTATATTTATTTATTTATTTAAATTATAAGCCAAAATTTATGTAAGCGGAACAATACCAACAAATAGAAATGATTGTGATATTAAATGAAACACAATCGCAATATCTGTAATTTATGGTTACGTGTCAAAATCATTAGAATTTGTGAGCTTTATATATTGTTTTTGTAAACACCCACAAAAGGCAAGGCCTAACTCATTATTATCCTCGTAGTAAATAAATGATCTAGATGAGCAAAATGGGGTTATATTCCGAATCAACAACATCTTCCTGATTATCTGGTTGATTAAATGGTACAAGCACCTGCCCACCAGCAGAATTCATCTACAAGATCTTTCTTGTATTCTGGACTGCATTGACTAAATATATGGGGCGAGAGAATGGAAAAGGACCAAGAATGATTTTGAGTGACAAACCCAACACAATTTTATAATAATAATGTCCCGCCTATTATATTTTTTTTTTCTCAAGTTCCTATATAAATATGAAACTAATCTACTATGGAACGACACCATTAGAAAAAATTTCAATCAAGTACTTGAACTATCTAAAGAAAGAGAGATCACCTATTACTATGAAAGTTTACCAGGAAGAACGAAAAATTATAACCAATAAAAAGACAATATTAACACAAAGTCATGAAGAACCTAGAAAAGAAAAAATATAATATGCATCAATCCATTTTATCATCAAAAGAAAGAAAACCTTTTAAAATTATATCAATTATCTTATTTTACCAATGATAATCCATCTCTATAAAACTTTGATAATGACAATCCACGATTTTTACCACGTTGATCATTATCAACAAGCCCCAATAATGGAATATCATATTTGAGTCATTTAACATATTAACCGGTTTAACAGGCGGACCAGTAAATAGTGGTTGTTTAGAACGGGGCGAAGCTGGTGGTATTGGAGAAGGTTGGGATGACTTTTTTGTGACCATATTACTTATGAAAGAGGAATATAACCGTACTATAGAGTTTGGTATGGGCAAATGGCCAAATGGTGGTGAGGGTATTAAAGGCTTACCTTGTGAGTAATTTACTTGATTGAAATTGATTTTTTTCTTTTTGAAATTTTGTTGTTATTTCCATCGTCATCATTATCATTATCATATATATTATATATATATTATCGTCAATTCTGAAACCTTTGGTTATTTGAATAAACCAGGATATTGGGGTGTACAGATTTTTACCACGTTGATCATTATCAACAAGCCCCAATAATGGAATATCATATTTGAGTCATTTAACATATTAACCGGTTTAACAGGCGGACCAGTAAATAGTGGTTGTTTAGAACGGGGCGAAGCTGGTGGTATTGGAGAAGGTTGGGATGACTTTTTTGTGACCATATTACTTATGAAAGAGGAATATAACCGTACTATAGAGTTTGGTATGGGCAAATGGCCAAATGGTGGTGAGGGTATTAAAGGCTTACCTTGTGAGTAATTTACTTGATTGAAATTGATTTTTTTCTTTTTGAAATTTTGTTGTTATTTCCATCGTCATCATTATCATTATCATATATATTATATATATATTATCGTCAATTCTGAAACCTTTGGTTATTTGAATAAACCAGGATATTGGGGTGTACATGCTAAAGGGTAGATATATTAATATGATATAAATATATACGTCCAAATTATATTTATTTATGCACGCATGCTTACGTTCGCGCTCTTGTAGACAAACTTGGATTCACACCATCCTGGTCCTCATCATCAGATGATGAAGATCACAGCTGGTATGAAAGATCGATAAGCGACGGCATAAAATTCCAAAACATGGCACACGTTATTTGACAATCAGTTGTTTGTCAATGGTACGAACTTCAACCATGTAGACCACTAACCTTTTTATCAATGCAAGAGATGCAATCTCGCAAGCTGATGGAATTTTAACTATCGGACAAAATAATTGTGAAATCTGGGAAGGGTTTGCTAAATGTGGTTTAGGTGTCGAGGCTAAGCTTGTTGACGGTCCTGACTGGAAAGAAAATTTTGATGTTCCTAATTCTTGTGCTCGCAGCTGTTATATATATGGAAATTATTAAAAGTTCAAGAAAACAGTATGATGATGATAACGATTAATTAAACAGGTTTAATTTCCATCGTTATAAATATTATAAACTTTTTCGTCCTAATCGAAAATCATATTTAACTTAACATGACATATACAACATACAGTTTGCAGTTGGCGCTCATTATAACGTTTTTATATACAAAAATTTTGAATAATTCTGTATCTTTTATAATAATCATTCATAGCAATAAAAACTATAATTCATACAGAATTTCCGTATACAAATTTTCTATAGGGCAGAACCACCCATATTATACAGCAGTATTAACATTGTTGGCATATTATTATAAACAAAATATTGAGATTTATTGTGAGACACAGATTTTTATCTCAATTTTTATTATTATTATTTGTAGTGTTCATAGATGATAAAATGTTAAAAACAGTATATAAATGTTGAATATAAAAATACTAATAAAATAATAAATAAATAATGCTAAATGATGATAAGAGGCATGATGGTAGGTCACTTAAATTATAAGAAGGGTTTGCTTTAATTTAAAAATCATCTGGTATAGTTAATTCAATTTGTTTAGATTCTATATAATTTAAAATATCAT